ATTGGATTTAGTATGGCTCTGTTGAGAATTTTCAGCTAATTGAGAATATTATAAACTATAAAAAAGAAAAATGCCTATTTTATAACTGAAAAATATAATTCCCCAAATTAGGACTTTTGTGGATGGATTTAAGAGCAATCTAGACAACACAGAAGAATTAATGAATTAGAAGATAAGTTGGAGGAAAATATCCAGAATAAACAGAGGACAAAAGAATGGAAAATAGAGGAGAGGGTAAGCTCAAAAGATTTAATGAGGACTTCTAACATAGGAGTTTTGAATCCCTGAAGGAGAAGAAAGAATGGTATAGAAACATTAACAAGAGAATGACTGAAAACTCCAACGGAAGAAGGACTTTATTTCACAGATTCAAAAATGAGCCACTGGTAGAAATCACACTAAAGACCAACAACAACAACAACAAAATCTTAAAGTCAATTCAAATAAATAATCCCAAACCTTTAATGATTTAGTATTAAGATTGATATTGATTTTCCACCAGAAACAGTCACAACTGATTTTTATCTTTAAAGTCTTAAAAGTACTTGCCATCCTAGAATACTGTGGCCTATGAAATTACCGAGAGGTGCAATAAAGGTGATAGCTATGAGGATAAAACTAAATGTTGAATGTTTAAAAATATTATAATTTCTTATGATTTTATATACACGTGTAATAAGGGTGCATAACAAAATATTGCATGTAAATCTTGGTAGTAACACAAGGAAAAGAAAGTGAAAGGAAAACAAAATTACTACTTAATATTAAACTCTAATTTATATGTTAGTAATCCAAGCTGTAATCCAAGCTGTAATCTCTGGAATGACCACTAAAAGAATTATTTAATTGTTCATTTCCAGGCTTGGAAATATGTAACTTCCAGATTAATGGTAGGAAAATGAAAAATTAACAAATGCTAATCCAATGAATACAAGAAAGGAGAGAAGACTTAACAGAACAAATAGAAATAAAAAGAACCTACTTAGAGATATATCAAAAGCATACAGATTCAGAAAGATTGAGATTGGAAAATAAAGGCAAAAACTAATGAAAAGAAAGTTGGTATATTAACATTAGACAAATCCAGCCTTAAGTTAAAAATTCTGAGAAGATATTCAATTTTCAGAAAGATATAATCTCATGAACCCAATAATATGGTCTCAAAATACAGAAAGCAATGTAGAAGACACATGAAGAATTAAAGAACTCAGGGGGAGATTTTAACAGTATCCATCAGAAAAAGCACACAAAAATAACTCAATGCAGATATTGAGGTTTTGAACAACAGAGTAGCAAACTTGACCTTCTGCATAGGGACACTGACAAAAAAAAACACTACATCCAACAGGGTAATATATGTGGTTTTTTTTTAACTTTTGCTAAATTTACATATAGTCATAAAGCAAGTTACAACGTTTTTTCAAAAGTTTGAATTTCTTTTGAATATTTTATTTTGCCACGTAATACTTTATCTAGAAATCAGTAACAAAAGATAAAATTTTTAAATTATCATTGGCAAATTAATCAGTACTATCTAAATAGCACTTGGGTAAATGAAAATTAGAGTAGAAGTCAAAATATTTAGGGTTCACATGTTAGAAGACCATGTCAAAACTTGTAGTATTCATTATAGAAGAGAACATATGCATTACATAATTAAGGTTTTGGCTTTTGGTAACACTGATAAAATCTAACTCCCTTTATCTTTCCACTATATCAAGATGATAATATCTCAGGGAAAGTCTTATTTATTCATTTTATCAAATATTTATTGAACACCAGTAGTATGCCATGCCTAATACTATGTGCTGGGTATGCGACAGGCTTTCTCAGCCTCTGTAGTATTTACATTTTGTGACTGATAAATCTTTGTTGTGGGAGATTGTCCTGTGCATTACAAAACTTTTAGCATAGCTATGACTTCTGTACATTAGGAACAGTAACATGCCCACAATTTGAGTAAGCAGAAGTCTCCAAGCTTTGCCTGCTGTTTCTGGGGGTCAGGGAAGGCAAACATCTATGAGATTGAGAACCACTTGTCTGTATTGGTGTAACTAACAAGTGTGTCTTCTGCCCTCATGATGCTGATAATCTAGTGAGTAGTTTTAAATAGCAGAACAGTTATTTCAGACTGAATTGACTTGAGTTTGAATTCCATCACTATTTTTTGTTGTTGCTGTTGTTGTATAGTTGCTGTTAATTTTCTCTGTCTCAATTTCCCCAGTTATAAAATGGAGATAATAATGATACATATTTCATAGGGTCAATGAATTAGAGATAATATGTGTGAAGTACTACAAAAGTGCTTGGCGTGTAGTAGACAGTTGGTAAACATCATCTGCATTTTATTATTAAATAGACAACGGTGAGTATGTATTTCTAAACTGCAATAAATTTTGTGAGGAAGAATAGGGCTCCTCCTCTCCATGCTCCCATCCAGACTTATATTTGCTGACAGTTGTCTTTAAAGGATACTTTGAAGTTACTCAGGAAGAGACTGTACTTATGTAACAATGGTGATCACTTTGAACTCTCAGATACTGTGATTCTGATTGTATTGTTTTTTGATAGACAAAGGTGAACAGTTATCATTTTTTTCTGGCATTTATGTTTATTAAAAACCTAATATTGATAATTAATACTTGGAACTATTTTTATAATAGATAAAATTGTTACAAAATGTTTTATAGTTTTAAATTATGAAATATTTCAGTTTGTTTTCAAACTTTAAACTCTGAGATTATTATATTAATTAATTTTCTTTCCCTGAATGGCATTCCATGGTGAGCTCTTGAAAATTAGAGTAATTGCAATTTTATTGTGATTAAATGTATAATTAACCTTGGGAGATTATGAAACACAGGTTCAAAAGCTTCTAAAGTTGGAGTGTTCCTGATCCAAAAAACCAAAGTCTGAACTGCTCCAAAATTTGAAACTTTTTGATCTTCTACATAAATATCCCTAAATCCAGTATAATTCAAAATTTGATTTTTGAATTAATTTCTGGTCCCAATAATTTCAAATAAGGGTTATTCAAAATAAATGTAGACTATTGATAATTGCTAAAAATGAGATAAGGAGAGTTACATTATTAGTGAAAGTCATCTATAATTGTATTTTGCATTGCTAAGAGAAACTTAAATTGGAAAATAAAATGGTTTTGACTCCTCTGCCATTTTTGAAAATACAGTAATAAATTACTATTTAAACTTAATTTAAAATAGTTTTATTTTCCCAGAGAAGCAAATTTAAGTATAAGCTATTCAACACAGAAAAGATTTAAATTTTCTGATGAGCAAAAATAACATTCTTCTTCATTACAATTGTAGCATTTTGCATTAAAATTAGAAATATGAAAGAATTATTGTTTTTTTACAGCCAAGTAGTGTGTGGGCAAATTTTTGAATTTTTACCATACTGATAGGGGAGAAATATCTTGCAATTTATATTTGTATTTCTCAAATTTTTAGTGAAATTAAATATCTTTTAAGCTTAAGGGCCATTTTTGTGATCTTTTGTGAATTCTCTGACTATATATTTGGCCCCATTTTTTTCACCTAAGTTCTTATCTTTTTTTCTCCTCAAATTTTAAGAATAAATTTATAGAACATAAAAATTGGATTTGTATATGTGTGTATATAAACACTTTCACTGCAGTTGTAATATATGAACTGTAACTGTCTACTTTTATTTATGGGAAATGTAATCAATTTTTTTTAAAAAACAAGAATTCTTATAATTCTAGGTACAGATCAAGTTGTTGCTTCAGTTCATTCAAATTAGATGTTTGCCATGTTAGGCCCATTGTTAAGCACTGAGGAGGAAACGTAGAACAAAGGCAGTGTTTTGAAGGTTACAGTTTAGTGGAAGAGATTAAAAACAGATAATAATTTCAAAAACTGTTCCAGATGCTGTGTAGGATGTAAAGATACTGAGGAAATAATAATGAGACTTGGATTATCCTGAGTGATCAGGAAGGTTTTAGGACAGTATTCTTAAGCGTTAAAGAGCTAACTGGATTTTGTGGGGTTCAAACTTTGTTGTTATTATTAATATGTTTCATTAAACTATTCACCCAGTAACTGGGCTACTTAGATACATGTAAATAAACTAGTGTGGTTCAAATATCAGTCAAGTTTGGATAGAGGGAGAACTGTAAAACATACATTTCTCTAGATTAGAACTAGCTCAGGTGGAACTAATTTGTCTTTGAAAACTCTAGTTTTTAATCTTAGGTAAATGTAGCATTCTTTTCTGTTTACTATTTTGAGTTTTCAAATTAGCATTTTAGAAATTTCCATTTTATTCATTTTTAAGTGTTTAGTTGAGAGTAGAATTAATAAATCATTGTACTAATTGCATTGAAGTATAGATAAGGTTAAGCCTAGTATGAAGTTTAAACTGAAACAAGTTAGCTTAATGTTAATGATAAGGAAATATTCAAATGAAATGTCATGATAAGCAAATGAAAAATAATTGATACATAAACTGAAATTAAATACGTGAAATGTTCATGTATGAAAGCAAACCTTAATTTACTTCACTGTGTAAATAAGGAAGATAACAATATTATTGTATTTTAGAGAAGATTCTATAAGACTTGTATATATACACATACACACACATACACAAATACATAAGCATATACATGTATATATCTTCAAATATATTTTTAAAATATCTTTCAAATTATCTTATTATAATGTAGAAATAATGACCCATAATCTAGTGTTTAATAACTTAATAAATTTTTCTGTTGACAGTTATTTATGTTTTGAATTGACTTCTAATTACTATAGTGGTTTGTATTGGTCAGTTCTTTTTTTTTTTTTGCAGTCATTTTTTTTTCTCTAGAGCAGGGAGTCCCAGGGAGCAAGCTGTATTATTTGTGAATTAGATATCTGCCCAGTGAGTTCTATTCAGCACTTCTTTACATTACTCTGAAAGGAAAATGAACTTAATAGGACTTTTGCCTCATTTTTTTCTTTTTTTTTTTACAGACACTGGCCAAAAAAAGACCCTAGACAAGAAAGATGGGAGACGGATGTCTTTTCAGAAACCTAAAGGGACTATTGAGTATACTGTAAGTTGTTGCTTTTAAAAAACGGACTTAACTTTGTAATTATGTTATTTAAGACAGTTTCTGTTCATGCTACACATATGGCAAAGATTGTTAATTGCCTTATTTAAAAAAAATCTGTACTTCCCTCTGGATAACTTTTATTAATAGTAACAAGTTTTTTAGGATTATTTTTCCTTAATAAGAAAATTTACTATGAGCTATGAAATGTTTTTCCACCAAATTAAATTTAATATTAATGATAATTTAACTGTGAATCAAAGTTCTTATGCTTTAATAATTCTATTAGGTTAGACTTTTAGGAAAATATTTGCTTTTTCTAGAAATATGACTATCATTATGTTTCCAGTAGTGCTAATGATAATGTTAATGACAGATAAAATGCTTTAAAAGACCTTGGTGGTGTGGTACATGCCTGTAATCCCAGCTGCTCAAGAGGCTGAGGCAGGAGGATCGAGAGTTCAAAGCCAGCCTCAGCAACATTGAGGCACTAGGAAACTCAGTGAGACCCTTTCTCTAAATAAATAAAATACAAAATAGGGCTGGAGAAGTGGCTCAGTGGCCAAGTGCCCCTGAGTTCAATCCCTGTTTACCCACTCCACTAAAAAAAATACTTAAAAGATAAGTTGATAGACTTAGTTTGATTTTTTAGCTATGCAAGTGGAGTTTTTTTTTCCTGTTATTGAAGTGACAGTCAAATCTTCCTGCTGTCAATTTTTTTTTCCATTTCTGATTCAATTATAGAAAACTGAAGTGAGAAATTGACTTTGGTGTTTGGTGTGCTGCTTATTTGGTGGAGTGTAAATAATTGTTTATTTAGATATCTTGACATGTTGTAAAGAAATTATTTTAGCTGAGTTTAATTTTTAATTTTTTTTTTTTTACTTCTTGATAGATCTTTATTTTGTTTATTTATATGTGGTGCTGAGAATTTGAACCCAGTGCCTCACACATGCTGGGCAAGTGTGCTTATGCTGAGCCCCAGCCCCAGCCCCTTGAGCTTAATTTTATTTTATGCTTTTCTAATATATTATGAAGAAAATAGTGATTTAAAATGTTAATATAGCATTTGTTTCTTCATGAAACTTGACAGTATGACTCTTGGTTATTTTCCATGAATCCATAAAGATAAACAAATTGTCAAAATTTTGAGTTATATTCAATTTTCATGTAATATATAATTGACAATATCAGATATATTAGGTTTACTTTTTAAAGGTTAGAAACCAGTTAATTTAAGGTAGAATTAATTTACTACTTTCAAAAGGAATCTAGTAAAGCATTTTATAAAACTTAAAATTGTGTATGCTTGAACCTGCATGATGGAAAAGAGAGTAAGTTTAAATAGTAAGAGTGAATAAAATAATTTGATGTATTCCTTATGTTAAGACATCAAATTATTGTTATACGGTATAAAAAATCTAAACATGTAATCATGATGGTGAAGAATTGTAAAATTTTTGTTAATATTGAACTTAGGAATTTACCATTCTTTGTAATCAAAGTAATTGAGTATCTGTGGTAAAATTAAAATTAAATTAAGACCATTATTTTTGTAGAGAAGGTTAATTGAAACCTAAAATCCTCTCCTCTAGCATTATAAATTGCCTTTGGAAAATCAAGTATTTACTGGAAATCATATTAAACAGCTAACAGGTGTTTGTTTAGAGCTTTATTTTTTTTTCATTTTATGTTTTCCATATTCCAGATTCTAAAAGAATCATGCATTTCTAAAACTAAGAAAGAGATTATTGTTTTATAGTCTCCTACTTTTATAATCTACCTTAAATATATTTACAAACCTTTTGTATATAGAGTAATAAAATTAATCTCTACTTTAGGTAACCTTAGAGTTAAAATCATGTATGTCTACATATGTATGTGTGTATATGTACATATATGTGTGTGTATATATATGTGTACATTACACATATATATAATTTGTACACATATGCGTGTCAGTTTACTTATAAAATTAGAATAAAATCACTGTCAGTGGGAATTATAAGTAGAACTTAAAAATGATATACATATTTTTTCCTTTAATAACTTAATATTCCTATATTTTTCTACTGAAATGCCTTTCCAATTATCAAATACAGTGACCTTTTTTTCTTGTTGCTTCCTGTTCATCATTCTTTCTACTTTTACTTTTCTTTCTGAGGGTCTATAAAAGTGCTTTCAGTGAGAACTTGAAGTTGTAAAATCAGTTTATATACCAAAAAATCTTTATTGTACTTTCATTCCTCATAGTTTAGCTGTCTGTAGATTTGTAAGTTGATAGTTATTTTTCTGCCAGTCTTTGGACAATGAGTATTAATTGATTGTCCTATGTACTCTGTTGTTATTTTATTTTTTAAGCAATCTTTTTGTTTATAGGTTACTTTTAAAGTTTTGTCTTTGTCCTTATAGTTCTGTAGTGGCATCAATAAGTTTAGATATAGCATATTTTATTTGTCTTTTGTTTATTGTATCTCTTCAGTCTTAGGAATCATCATTCTTACATTCCAGAAATATTTTCAGTCATTAGTTATCTTCAGCTATATCCTCTCCTTCTGTCTCTATTTTCTCTTCGTAGAACCCTACTTTATTCTTGAAACTAATTGTACTACATTTTACTATCATTATCCTTTATTGCCCTTGTATTCTTGCTATCATTTTGGTTATATATTCCATCTGCATCACTGGCTGTTCATCTCTTCTTGATTCCAAATATGAGTGGTCCCTTGTTTTTTCTCATTTGTTCTAATGTTCATTTTGTTACTTGCAGAGTTTAATAACTTTACTATATGAGCTACTTAGAATAAGGTCAGACTTTTTCTATTCCTGATTTTTGGGGTGCTTACATTTCCTAGTATCATGTCATATTTAAAAAGTATAGCAAACCTTTTTTTCTTCCATCCTTGAATAATATCAGATTTTCTTATTTCTGTTCAGTCTGTTATTTATCTAGTTTGGAATTTTTAGAGTCAGTATCGGTTGCTTATTCACATTTCCTTTCCTGTCCTACTACTATTACTATAAAAACTCCATTTAACCTATAAATTAAAAACTCTTTAATCTTAGTTGAAAATTATGTACCTTGATCTATTTCTTTACATTTTGTTACCTTAAACCTAATCTGCAATAGTGTTATATTGATTTTTCTGTATCCATTCTCTTGTCCCATTAATCCTAGATTGTTGCCATAATATCATAAGGTGCCACGTAAGCAAATTCCTTTGCTTTATAACCATTTGTGTTTTTTTTTAACTAATCTTAGTTATCCTAGTTTACAGACATTGTGAAGATAAAATAAGTAATATGATTAAGAGTTATGATTATATGAGAGTTCTATGTAAACTTATAGATGTTACTACAAAATAACTTTGTTGCAGAGAACTTATATTATTTCAATAAAAGTAGTTCATTGTGTAGATGAGATGGGGGATGCAGAGATAGATCATTATTTTGCATAAATTTCATTCTATAAAAGCTAGTAAAGAAAATATTGTTTATTATTTAAAACACACCGTCTTCTTTTTCTGACTTTCCAACTTGTCTTCAACCTAATTCTAAATGCCTTTTCAATCCTGTGCTTTGTAAGAGTTTTAATTCTAATTAATAACCTTTTTAAAAATCTGTGCTTCATGAAGATTCTCTGGATGGTTTAAGAGGAAGAGGAGATATCTCACAAATGTGCTTTATATTTTTATACCTCCTAACCATGTCTGTTACCTTCATTTTAAAAATTTTTTTCTCTTCTCTTATTCTTGCCCCTTCTTCAAGAATCAACTTACACATCTTCACTTTGAAAATTCTATTACTTCTCTCAATTTCTCACAGTGTATCCCTTTCTTCAAGTGTTTGTTTTAAAACTTTCCTACACCCTTTCCTGGACAATTTTAGAGTACACAGTACACTGTCTGTACTCAAAACTTTCAGTTGCATTTGCTGTTCTATTGTAAATTTTTCTCCATCTTTAATATAACCATTTTTATCTATCTTGTTTTCCAATCAGATTATAAATTCTTTTTAGACTAAAACCACTTAGTTGCACTTAGTTGTATTCTCTTCAAATGCCTTACACAAGGAGGACTTCAATAGAATATATTGACAGATCAGTTGAGTTTTTTAAGTCTGATTAGTAAAATTCCATTGTTTATAACTTCTCTAAATATAAAATTCATGAAATTATATTAATTCAAAAGAAGATTGATCAAGTTTGATTTAAATATTTTACTTTTACATATAAATGGCAGAATATATACAGAAAAATCATTAGAAATGGCATTTTTATTTTAATATAGGTTTACTTTGCCAAAATACAATGATTATATTTTTAGAAATTCCATATATTTTAGAAACTATGTAAAGGAATAGTATAGTATTTTAATGACTTTGTAAAGTACACATTATGTTTTGTAAATTGTATTTGATATTTTGAAATAGCTTGAATTAGAGGTCCACATGTATTATGATAAGCATATATACTCTATATTATAAAAAGTTGAGATTATTTGTTAACAAAACATAATATTTCTTGACAGCTGTCTCCAGAGATAAAAATTCCTTTTATTAATCAAATTTAAGATTGCTTTATAGATATGTTAATACTCATTAAACATTATAATGTAGTTTTTGTTCTAACAGATTAAAATGATTCATTATATTTTTTCTTAAACAGGTTGAATCAAGGGATTCTTTGAATAGTATAGCCCTGAAATTTGATACAACGCCCAACGAGCTTGTTCAGTTAAATAAATTATTCTCCCGAGCAGTTGTTACTGGACAGGTATTACCTTCTTTTAAAAGTGTTGATATTTAGAATCATTAAGTAGAAAGTATTTATTGCTAGTAGTTTATAATGTAGAAAATGTAATAAGAATAATTTTATGAATGCTTTGAACAAATAATATATGATACTATGGATGGTTTAGGATTGGAACAGATCTTGTCAGATTGTTCAATTTTCTACAAAATTGTCATTTATGTCTGTCTGAGTTTTTTTAAATATATACTAAAACTAATTCTAAATTATCTTTTCAAATATAATTTTAAAGAGCTTTCAAAAGTATTTAAGTAGTACATGGATTAGATTTTAAAATGTCAACATTTTTAATGGTAATGTATGCTTCCTTCTCATTAATTTCCTTTTCAAAAGCAGCTAGTTCCAGTTACCAGGTCACATCTACTTTTAGAAATATTCTCTTTTTTTATTTTTAGGGCTTTTTTTTTTCATTTTAAATTTAATTATTGTTGATTGGAAAATGTTCTATTTAAGCACAGCAGATTTTTTCATGTGTACATACTGATGTATATCAGTTCAGTCACAATATGCTTTGGCTAATGTTAATGTGGCTACAATGAATATTCTTATGCATATTTAATTTTATTCATGTTTCTGTAGGGAAAATTCTGGGAGTAGAATGGCTAGGTCAAAGAGATATGTGCAGTTTTAATTTTGATTTTGATTTTATACTATTGCCAAATTGCCTTTAAGATGACTACCTATAGTATTTGAAAATTATTGTTTCCCCACCATGTGTCAGTACTATGTTTATCAAATGTGTTTAAATTGATTTTTAAATATCTTTTACTTTTACTCCATAGACCTGTTATGGTAAAAAAATATTCTTATAATCTGAAAGTTTTATTTTTTCCCTATTTTGATAATTGTATTTGCTTATAGGACATCATCTGATTATTAACATTTCAGTTTGACTCATCTTTATGTGATTTCTTTCTTACAGGTTTTATATGTTCCTGATCCTGAGTATGTGTCCAGTGTTGAGAGTTCGCCATCTCTAAGTCCCATAAGTCCTCTGTCACCAACATCATCTGAAGCCGAATTTGAAAAGACCACTGTAAGTATCTCTGCTTTTTCATGATGGCTATGAAGAAATATTACTGTGTATACATTTATCATGTTTTTTCATTCTACTTTGACTATGTTTAAAACAAGAGAGTACCTTTTGTTAATTAAAGTGGCAAGTTTTAATTTTTTAAGTAAATATTCTTATTAAATTTGATTTACTTTTGGTGGTGATCATCCAAAGGTGCTCATCAACTCCATGTAATTTAATATTGAAAAGAATTTTACATAATACATGAGAGTATCACAATAAGAAGTCCATATCCAATTTGAATTTTATTTGTTTCTGTGAATATGCATATACTAGTACTTGGAAAACTTACATTTTTTGATACACTGCCTTTTTAACAACTTATTAACTTAATCATTCTTTTGAGTATAACATTATGGATTAATTTATCTAGCATATCTAAGGAATGAGTGTTGTATGTAAGTTACATTTTCAAACAAATTTCCAGGAAGAGACTTTATGTAATAATTTTGATTAAACTCTCTGAAAGGAACTATATTTTTCTTTGCCTTTCCTATATAAGTTAATACCAATCATATTTTTTCATTTTCATAATGACCTAGTATTTGCATATGATACTTTCTCCATTAAATAGCTAGATTGTTGTGCGGACATCTTCCTTGTTGCTCTGTTATCTTTCTGTGGCTCATTTTTCTTCTCTTCTTCAATTTGCATGCAAATAAAGTTTAGGATACCAAGTACCAAACTGGTAACAAAACACAAATTATTAATTTGCCTACATTTATTCATTTTTAAGTTTTTTGATCCCTATTATTTCATCATATTCCTCTTTTTTATAGAGTAAATTAAATGTTATTATTGATAACTATTTTATCAAGGACTTTTTCCCTTGTACATGTATATATGAGAGAAAGAGACAGATGTGAGGTCTTTTTCCAGTGCTTATTTGTTGTATCTTATTTGTGTCAGTATGGAAACCTTGTACTTTAGAATGCAGTCACCCAAAAGGAATGTATAGGTTGAGCATCTCTACTTTTGACTAGGTTTCTTATTTTTGAATATTTCCATATATGTATTGAGATGTCTAAGTCTAGACAAAATTCACTTGTGTTTCATATATACCTTAGGACATGTAGCCTGAGGGTAATTTTATACAGTATTTTCAGTGTGCCATAGTTTTTACTGCATCTAAGATCAGGTGCTGAATTTGCCATTTGTGGCCTCAAGGAAGTACTCAGAAAAGTTTGGATTTTAAGAGCATTTCAGATTTCAGATTAGGAATATTTCCATATCAAGTCCCATTTTAAGAATTGCTCTCACATATGCCATACTTAAATAAGTCATAACCTCTCATCTTTCTCTTTGTATTTCTATGTATTTTTAAACTTATAATTTCTAAACAGTAATATCTACTATTTTAAGACTATATAAAAATGTATTATACCTGTTTTTTTATACTATGTAAATTAGAATTTTAACTTTAATTTTAAATTTAAATCCTAATATCTAAATATCTGCAACTTATATGTACTTTATTAAATGTAAAGCTTACATATTATAATAAAGTTGTGTAAATATAAGTACCAAACATATGATTAATAAAAAAACTGTAATATATAATACTTATATGTTATATATAGTTTAACTTTGAAATTTTAGCTTATCTTAAATTCAACAACTTATTTGGGAATTATAATTTATTATGTGCTTTTAATATATTATGCCTGAATCATGGCTTGGTCTTAAATTTTTAGAACAGAATTTTATGTTTAATATCTGATAAAATAGAGCTTTAAAATATGACTTTTTATTTATTTAGATTTTAAGAAATTCTTTTATATACAAGAAATTCCTGTATTTTCAATATCATAAGAAATGGTTGAAGTACTGAGCAACACTTTTTTTCTAGATTCTAAATGGATGCATCACTTCCATAATTAGAATAAAAAATGGATCTTGCTTTGCATTTAACCTGGTTGTTAGAAAACTGAAAGCCAGATCCAAAGCTCCTTGTATAACACTAATGGTGTTGTTACAATTGCATATATTTTTTTTTTGTATTTTATTTTGGATTTTGATTTTTAGCATTCTCAACTTCTTGATTCTAAGAAATTGAATGTAATAAATTCTGAAAGGTATAGGAAGTAAATGGTACTCATTATATGTCATATTAAACAGAGAAATTAACATACATTGCTTTAATATTAAACATTTTCTTTTAAGTTATTTAGCATATATATGTTGTATGAAAACTGATGTTATTTCTGCCTGTATGGCTTTTCCTCCACAAACTTCCTGTGTGTTACCTCTGTGTTACTAGAGAACATTTCTACAAATTTTCAACCACAAAGGGGCAAAAACACAATAAAACCAAGACAAGAAGGCAAGTGAAGAATTTGGAGTTATTAGTTTATGGTAGTGACTTATGGTAATATTATATAAATTATGTTTTTAATAATGTGTAGTTATCACATGAAAAATGACTCTGATTCAGCTTTTTCAACAATTTGTCCTGGTAATACTTCGCTTTTTCACACTTGTATATATGGGGCAATATCGGGGCTAGATAGATATTTATATGTCTGGATTTCTAAGGACCTTTTCTTCTCCATTGACTGAAATGAAATTACACAGAGAAATATAAGAAAGTCCTCAAATGAGCTTCAAACAATTATATTAAGAATCACATCTCTAAGTATCAGTCAAAACTAGCTACTTTGAGATACTTAAACACTGCATAATGTAAATTTATGTAAGTTGTAATACTGTCTGATAATAATTTCTCTGAACAACTTTGACCTTTCTGAAAGAAAATATCTCTTTTGTGCTATATTTTGAGCATTTGCAAGCTAACTCATGTAATAGGATTACACTGAAAAATCAGAATTGTTGTAGATACTGAGTTATAGAATTATATCCTTTTAGGGAACCTAGGAGATCATGTTGTTCAGCGTGGTTTATTTTCATTTAAGGAAACATTTGATAATGTACCTTCAGATATCTATATCTGTCTTGTCTTGTGAGTTGGGGTTACATATTACATAATAATATTATTGTTAATTTGGAAGTAATTGAGCAGTCATAAAATTTGTTGATAGCTTTTTGCCAGCTTGCATTGGGCCTTTCTGGTGGTTCAACATCAGCTATTTTTCTCTTGACATATTTTCAGTCATTTGATGGAAGTTTGAAAGGGAAGGTTTATAGTGTAACAGTTAAACTTACTGGCAACATGTGTTGGTAACATGGATTTGCATCTCAGCTTCATCTTATTCATTTGTCAATTTACAGAATTTAGCTGAGTGTGAATTTCCTTTAAAAAGTCTGCCCTATATGGGTTGAAGAAGTTACATTTCTTCATTAGGTTAGAAAAAGTTTTGTAATGTTTGCTGTCTTTTCCAATATCTCAGTTATGAGACAGAAGAGAAGGCAGTCTTCTTTATTATTTCTAAAACCCAAATTAAAATTATTAGTTAGAAGTTACAAAGTGACAGATTTTAACTCAAATCTGAGAAGTATTGCTTCTATGAAAACTGTTCATAAGGCAGTTACATTTATTCATAAAGTATGAAATAAATGCCTCTGTGGACATATTTTTTAAAAAGGTTAAAGGGAATCCATCTACCCTTCTTACAGTGTTCAAGTGAATATTGAATTTCTGTGGGAGGATATTGTGTGTAGTAATTTAAAGGGTCTGAGAACTTGGATATAAAAATTTTAAGTGTAGTCAGATATTTTTAAAATTAAGATTATGAATAAATAAGAATTTAAATGGCAAATATATAATAATAGGCATACCTGTGGCATTCTCCTCAATATAATGCATAGATATTTTCAGATCACTTTATTCCTGTTGTAAACATCACAAAATGTGGTTTTCAGTAATTGAACAACAATTATATTCAACATTATAATTACACATTATATTATTTATAATTAGGTCTTGTTAGTGTATTAAAAAACGTATGCACTAATTTTCAGTTTTTTAAAAATGTTTTGATAATTGTATATCAATAATGTTTTTTTCTTTTATCTTTTATTTGAACCATTCAATTACATTATGAGAACACATTCATAGGCTATTCTGAAAAAGGTTCATGGCACCAAAAGTTTTAAACTATAATCTAACCAAACATTGTAGTTTGAAATTTAATGGTATTCCAATGAATGCGTTGTACTGTATATTTAGGCAACAAATACAAGCTTTTCACCTCTTCTCTACTCCCAAAACCTGATGGGTATTGTACAATCTTGTGAAGAACAGTATTTTAATAAACGCTTCACTGTGGATGCTGGTGGGGGTTAGAGTACAAGTAATGTAGTTTTTAATGTTTTCCTGATGATTATGCATGTTTTAATTTACATATTTTGTATGTGTGCCTGTGTGGGTATAGATATATACCCACACAAATATTTCCCTTTTAAGAAATCACTAGAAGTGTATGTTTAAGTTGTATTTGAGATCTTTACTATTGTTTTCATAAACAACACTATTATAGTTTTTTTATATAAGAACATTTTGGGCTAACCTCCAGAATGTAGTAGGAAAGAACAGTACATTGGGAAGAACTGTTCGTTTGACTTTCATAATGTGTTTATTATTTAGTTTTCTAAAGTGCCTTTTTTTCTTTTTTAAAGAATACTGATGTAATCCATCCAAAAGAAGCAGCTCCTTCATCAAATTTTACTGGTATTCGACCTGCACGAGTGGTATCTTCAACTTCTGAGGAAGAAGAAGCATTTACTGAGAAATTTCTTAAAATCAATTGCAAATATATCACCAGTGGCAAGGTAATGGATGACATTTTAGAGAAAACTTTTAATCATGCCTAATTTATTAACTAAAACATGACAGTTTGCCATTTACATTTTTTCTCACCAACATTAGCAAATGCCTGAATATTTTTTTAATATATTTTTAGTTTTAGGTGGACATAATGTCTTTATTTTACTTTTACATTTTGCTGAGGATCAAACCCAGTGCCTCATGCATGCTAGGCAAGCATTCTACCACTGAGCCACAACCCCAGCCCCAAATACCTGAATATTTTAAAAAGGCCTTTGTGTGCGAGACCCTGGGTTCCATCCTCAGCACCACATAAAAATAAAATGAATAAAATAAAGGTTTTGTGTCCAATTACAACTAAAAAATAATTTTTTTTTAAAAAAAGCATTTGAGATAATTCCTAGCTTGAGTTAGCATGGTCCTTTCACATAACCTAAAGTCTGGTGGTCTGTTACAATTGTTAAAGATAATGGAGTACAAATAAATTCACTATAAAATGCAGTTAATTACTATTTCTAGAATGTTTCAAGAAGCATGTAAGAAAAAAATAGATCATTAATGAGTACTATTTGAAATACTACTTTTGTAAAGTTATTATAACACATAAATGGGAAGAAAACTATTGAGTACCTACTATATGTCAGAATGACTTGAGGTATACTAATTAATTGATCAATTCAGAATAATTTGTGAAATAGGAGGTCCTATTTCTTCTTCATAGGAAAAAAAATCAGAAAAGATTTACATAGCCAAGGTTTCTCCATTATGGTCAGAATTCATAGTTTGAATCTGTTTTATCTACCATACCTGGCTGCTTTTTCAAGGAAAAACTTCTAATTTTCAAAGGAATTATTGTAAATTAATACAGAATTGAAAAATAAATTCCAGGTTTTACTTGGAAAATGACTATAACTTAATACTGACTTTGCAGGCATACATGAGAACCGTTACTTAGAGTCAGAATTCATGAACTATTTGAAATAACAAACATTTAGTGCATAAATTCCTCCTGAGCAGTCTTTTAGCTGCATCCCAGAATCTGGATAATATAGTATTTTCATTCATTTGAATATATTTTCTCTGGATTTCTTCTTTGCCCCATTGAATATTTTAGATTGTTTTAATTTCCAAAATTGGGAACTTTCTAAATACTTTTTTACAAATATTTTTTAGTTATACATGAATATAATGTCTTCATTTTGTTTATTTATTTTTATGTGGTGCTGAGGATCGAACCGAGTGCCTCACATATGAGAGGCAAGGTCTCAGCCACTGAGCTACAACCCCAGCCTCTCTAGTTATCTTCTTTTACTAATTTCCAACTTCATTCTATGCCATCGGAGAGTATACCACTGATGAGACCTGTTTTAAAGTCTAGAATACAGTATGTCTTGAGAAATGTTCAATGTGCACTTGAAAAAATGTGTATTCTGCTGTAGGTAGAATATATTATAAATCACATAAGTCAAGTTGGGTGATAGTGTTGTTCTTAAGTATTCCTGCTGATTTTCTATTTGTTTTATTTCTTCTTAACAGAAAGATGTAGAAATATCTCACTGTAATGTGTATTTGCCTATTCTTCTTGCAGTTCAGTTTTCTTTTGGGGTGTGTGTGTGTGTGTGTTTTGAAACTCTGCTATTAGGTGCAATAATGTTTAGGAATTTATATTGACTTGATGAATTGAATTGTTTATCATTATGAAAGGCCCTCTTTATTCTTGGTAATATTCTTGGCTCTGAAACCCACTCTGGGAATAGTATTATATCTACTTCAGCTTCCTTTCAATAAGTGTTAACATGTTTTATCTTTTTCCATTTTTTTACATTGAGCCTAAATATGTATGTATGTACGTATTTTAGTTTTTGGTAATAGGGACTGAACTCAGGGATACTTAACTATTAAGCCACATCCCCAGCCCTTTTTTGGGTCTCCCCAATTGCTTAGCGCCTTACTTTTGCTGAGGCTGGCTTTGAACTCCTGATTCTCCTCCCTCAGCCTCCCCAGCTGCCAGAATTACAGGTGTGCACCACTGCACCCTGCGGCATTGAGTACTTTATAATTTCATGTTATCTCCTTTGCTGGCTTATTACCCATTGCACTTTATTAGTGACTCATTTAGAATTTTCAGGATATATTTTTAATATGTCATAATGTAATTTAAATAATATTAAATTAGTTAACATATTGTGTAAGAATGTTATAAAAGTATGCAGTTCACCTTTGAACAACATAGGAGTTAGTTAAAACTGCCCCTCCCCATGCGGTTGAAAATCCACTATAATTTTTGACTCCTCAAAAACTTAACTAATAGCCTTTTATTGACTGGAAGCCTTACCAATAACACAAGCAGTTGATTAACACATATTTTGTGTGTTATATATATTATATATTGTGAGACAAGTGAAAGGAACTGCAAGAAATTTCATTTTAATGGCACGTATAATTTATTGGAGAGATAACTACTCCTGTAGAGATGATTAATGTAACACATTGTTTTTTTATTGGTTCTTTTTAGTTATACATAACAATAGAATCTATTTTGATATATTTATACAAGAATGGAATATATCTTATTGTAATAATGGATCTCAGTCTTGTGGATGTACACAATGGTAAAATTCACTTAGGTGTATTCATATAAGTACATAGGAAAGTTACATCGATTAATTCTACTATCTTTCCTATTTTCATCCCCCTTTCCTTCCTTTCATTTCCCTTTGTCTAATGAACTTCTGTTCTTCCTCCCTCCTTTATTATGTGTTAGTATCCATCTATCAGAGAGAACATTAGGCCTTTTATTTTTTTGGAGTTGACTTATATAATTATCATGATAGTCTCCAGTTCCATCCATTTACCAGAAAATGCCATAATTTTGTTCTTTTTATGGCTGAGTAATAGTCCATTGTGTATATAAACCACATTTCTTTATACATTTATCTGTTGAAGTGTATCTAGGTTGGTTCCATAGCTTAGCTGTTGGAATTGTGCTGCTATATACATTGATGTGACTGTATCACCGAAGTATGCTGATTATAACTCTTTTGAATATATATATCAAGGAGTGGGATAACTGAGTCAAATGGTGGTTTCATTCCTATTTTTTTTTTTTGAGGAATCTCCATACTGCTTTCCATAGTGATTGCACCAATTTGTGGCCCCACCAACAATGTATGAGTGTACCCTTTTCCCTACATCTTGCCAACATGTTAACGTATGTTCTTGATAATTGCCATTATGGTTGGAGTGAGATGAAATCTCAGTGTAGTTTTAATTTGCATTTCTCTAATTGCTAGAGATGTTGAAGAGTTTTTCATACCTTTGTTGACCGTTCATATTTCTTCTTTTGCAGAGTGTCTCTTTAGTTCCTTTGCTCATTTATTGATTGAGTTATTTGTGGGGGTTTTTTGTTTGTTTGTTTTGTTTTGGTGTTAAGGTTTTTTAATTCTTTGTGTATCCTAGAAACTAAAACCCTATCTGAGGGATGGATGGCAGAGATTTTCTCCATTCTGTAGGCTCTCTCTTCATGTTCTTGATTGTATCTTTTGCTGTAAAGAAGCTTTTTAGTTTGATACCATCCTATTTATTGATTTTTTTCTTTTATTTCTTGTGCTTTAGAAGTCTTGTTTAGGAAGTCTATTACTAAGTCTACATGTTCAAGTGTTGGGCCTATACTTTTTATTCTAGTAGGCGCTGGGTTTTGGTCTAACACCTAGGTCTTTGATCCATTTCGAGCTGAATTATTGAATTTTGTGTAAGGTGAGAGATAGGGGTTAAATTTCATTCTACTACATGGGGATTTCAAGTTTTCCCAGCACCATATGTTGAAAAGTCTCTCTCCTCCGATGTATATTTTTTGTTCCTTTGTCTAGTATGAGATTAACTGTATTTATGTGGGTTTGTTCTGTGTCTTTTATTCTATTGGTCTTATGCCTGTTTTGATGCTGGTTTTGTTACTATAGTTCTGTAATATAATTTAAGGTCTGGTATTTGATGCCTCCTGTTCTGCTTTTCTAGCTCAGGATTTCTTTGAGTATTCTAGGCCTCTTATTTTTCCAATGGATTTCATGATTGCTTTGTCTATTTCTATGAAAAATGTCATTGCAATTTTAATGGGAATTGCATTAAATCTCCATAGTGCTTTTGGTAGTATGGTCAATTTGACAATATTAATTCTGCCTATCCAATAACATGGGAAATCTTTCCATCTTCTAAGGTCTTCATTTTTTTTTTTAGTATTTTGTAGTTTTATTTGTAGAACTCTTTTACCTCTTTTGTTAGATTTTCAGTGTTTGAAGCAGATAACTTCAACACTTAAGCCCACCATAATACCAATGGGAGAGACGGCTACAAAATTATTAGGGTAATACATATATACTGTAATTAGTTTTATATTCTATGACTTAATGCTGCATCTTTCCTTTTTTTTTCATTTTTCTTTAGTGCAAATGGTGCTGTGTATTTTTGTCTATTGAGTGTTTATTTAAATTTTGGTAAAATATTAACTTACAAGATTCCTGTATATTGTGGTAATTAATAATAGACTATTATATACAAATATTTTATGCATTCAAGGCACAGTTTTTGTTAATTTTTTTAGTTCAATTGCCAAGTTTTAAAAATTTTTATGAATCACATGCAAAAAAATCTGCTCATAAGAGAATTCATGGAGGTCAAACTCTTTATGTCAAGGGTCAACTGTATTGTCAGACCTTCCCCCACAACATTTGTGCTCTTATTGTTCTACCTTTTTATTTCTACATGTTATAAACTCTAAATGCATTATTATTTTTGCTTTTAAAAGTAAGGAAAAACTATTATATCTATCCACTTCTTTTTCATTCTCTCTGCTTTCCATTTTTTTAAAAAAAATAGATCCAGATTTCAGTCTTGTATCATTTTTCTTTGTACTTGAAGATTTTTAAAAAATATTGCAATTCAACTGGTGATAAATTTTTTCAGTGTTTGAATATCTAAAAAAGTGTTTTCCCTTCTTTTTAAAATAATA